AATCGCTCTATCATTATTCAATTTCCAGCGCGAACTGCTGGCGCAACTTTACGCCTCTGAAAACGAAGTGCGAAAGTCTTCACCGCAGAGAATACAATAAAAAAAAAAAGAAACAAGAACAAGCGAATCTCTCCTTCTCATCCCCCAGAAAAAACTCGTTGGGGATAAAAATCGTCGCTTTCATTTAACTCACATGTGTTTCACACGCGATTCAATTGCGAGTGCGGTTCTCACTGACGGACTGTATGTATGTATAATTTTTAAGACGGTTACAAAGAAGGCAGCGTATTGTCATTATTTCGTCGTTGTCTTATGTATTGTTTATATCTCTCGAAAGAGTACCACGTATATACAATAATAATTATAATAAAGATCGACTAGTGTATTTCGAATCCGACTGAAAACAATTAAAGAATTAAATTGCGCTGACACGTGCGTGTGTCTTTTTATTCTTCGAATCCTTTTCTCCAGTCTCCACATTGCTCATCATTAATCCTTCGTAGGCAGTCTGAGTCTTTTTTTACCTTGAAATTTCACTTTCAAATTTCTTGTGGCACAAGTTTCAATTTTTATTAAATAAAGGTTTTAACGTTTGAGTTAAATAACTATTTGGCAATGTAACAGAGATGTTAAAAAGTGAATGTTTCTAAATTTTTTGAAAGACTAGAATACAGTAAAAAAATTTGGATTGGACAGAAAAGGCCCAGAGTGTCTACGGAGTAAGCAAAAATATGTGTGCTTATGAAGGATTAAACGGAAAAGAAAGATATACGGGTGGTCCACTTAAATTAAAAACCTTGAATATTTCATTTAAATTTTTGATGATACGAAAAAATTTTCAGATGAAAATGGAACGGTTTCGAGAGAGATATATTTAAAAAATCATATAATTTCATTCAAAAAAGGAAGATGACTTTCATATCTTTTTGGCGCTTCCACTTAAAAAAAACGTGATCAAAATACATCCCCCTCAAACCGTTCTATTTTTATTTGAAGCATTTCTTCGTATCATCAAAGACAAATGAAATATTCAAGAATTTCAATTTAAGTGAACCTATATATACTTTATAAGAAAAAAAACTCTAAGATTCTCGAAATAAAAAAAAATAAAGCGTGAAAATGAGGACTAATTAGAGTGTAGGTGCGGTAATTGGAGGTCTAATTAACTTGTGTAAAAATGGTCTTTATCCAAATGCTTAGTTAAACGTTCAGTTCCGCTTTGAGTCAATTTGATCGTATATATCGCTGCTGAGAATGATTCAGAGATTCTAAACGTTCAACCAATTGTAAGTATTATGTATTAAGATCATTTTTACACAAATTAATTAGCACGCTTACTCTCATTAGTCCTCATTTTCACCCTTTATTTTTTTTTAAAGATATATACATTTACAAAATTTATAAAATTTTACTTGGGATTTGTCTAAATACATTTAATGTTTTATTCCTCATATTTTCTAAATATATACGTTCCGGTAATTAAAAAGAGATGCCGGTTTTAATTTTAATCGATGATGGGTACACGAAAGAATGGGAAACGTTTCCAGCTCTCAGACGAAATAAAATGTAGCGTAAAATAATTAAAAAAAATTGTCATAGACTTGTGTATTTAAATAATGAAGACTCGTTGTAGAAATATATATTTTTGTTGAATCAGAAACCGAAGGGACGCGCAGTTCAAGGGATTAAAGCTCCTAACGGGCGCGTAATCGCATTTTTTGACTTTTCGTCTCTTCGATTGCGATTTTATTGCGTGTCTGAAAGAGTGCGCCTCGTCGCCGAGATAACGAGATTCGCGTGCGAGATTCGTCGGTTGCACGGTTTTTGCACGAAAAAAGAGAGGGGTGAGGGTGAAAAAAGAGAGAAAACGAAAGAACGTAAGGGCAGATGTGCGCGGTTTTATTCCATAAAAGGCGAACTCACACGGAACGAAACCCTGTTCGGCGCGGGGCTAATTGTTAATTAAGACGCGGATTGCTGTGCGGATTGACAATTTGCAATTGTAAAATCCGTTCCTCGCGCGTAATCTCGTTCACGTATCGCCCGAGCGAATCTCGCTCGCACGTTTCCAATCGCATCGAAATTGTTTCGCAAGTGCCGTTTCCACACGCGGAAAAACGAATTTCGAAGAAAAGTTTCAACGAAGTGTGACCGGACTGACAGTCGGAGCTACGAGGTGTTTCGTAAAAAACTTCGAGGACATTCTAACGTGAATTGAAAAAAAATTCACGATAAAATTCGTTTACTGGATTAAAAACCGCAATAAAAATATATATCACGCGCGCGCAAACAGAATATAATTTAATTTCAACTTTTGCTTAAATCGTCCTCTTTTAATTCTTAGGATTTGAATTCTTAGGATTAAAAAAAAAAGAGTAAATTAAAACACAAGGTTATTATTAAAATTAATGTCAGAGATGTGATCTACAATTGAATCTACAATTTTAAGACTCCTGCCTGCTCACTGCAGCCATCTTGGATTGTGACATTAGGAACAAGAAAAATACATAAAGAAAATTCTTGGCAAATTATATTTAAAAATATGAGTATTTTGTAATAAAACAACATTTGCAATCGATAAAATAATTTGTAAAATATATATTTACTGAAAACTTCCCTTGTGTTCCGGTAATCAATAAATAACATATATTTAAAATTGAATTATACCTAACCAGAAAACAAAACAAGCTACATGACAACTGTCAAATTGCGACAAATATGATTTTATTCTATTCCAAAATAAAGGGAGAGTTTCCGGTATATTTTACAAGTATATTTTATCAAATGCAAATATTATTTAATTGAAAAATATTTCTATTCGTAAGAATTTTCATTACGTATTTTTTCGCTTCTGACGTCATCAATTTGAACTTCCGTGATGAGTAGTCAAGAATCTTAACACTGGTTCCTAACGGGAAATTAAAAAAAAATTGTCAGCAAAGATACTCTCGATGGTTTGCCTTCTGAAAGATAATCAAATAAAATCATTTGATATTTAGCCATACTTTATTCCACGATCGCTATTCCACGATTTACATTATATTTCGCCAAAGGTCGCGTTATAAACATTCTTAAATCGAAATTACAGATTTAAGCAAATTTACCTTAGATAAATCAATGATTTGTTTTATTAAAAGCAATTTAAACAAGCAATTTAAAAATTTTAGTTATAAATTTTCTAGTTTATTACACGTATTTTTTAACAAACAAAAATTTCAGATTTCTTCTATGTTATATTTGAAAGTAAAAAAAAAGTTTGGCGGCGATTTAAAATCTGGGGCAAAAATTATTTCAATAATGCTCATTTTTACCCATTTAGATTAACTTTAATCTTGGTTTAGCTTACTTTTTATCTTTTTCTAGTTTTAGGAATTATATAGAAAAGGATAAAGAGTAAATTAAACCGAGATTAAAGTTAATCTACGTTGATAGAAATGGACATAGAAAATAGATCAGTTATTTAGAAATAATTAAGATTAAATGAGAAAATTTTTATTTAAACTATAAAATAATTTTGTTAACTGAAACTATTGATTTACTGAACTATTTCATATATAATATATTTCATATATTTTATATATATATGTATCAAACATTCCTTTTTACATGGAAAATATAAATTTCCAATTTGTCACTTTTTGCAAAGACTATACACCTAATATGTTCTTATTTGCCCGACTTATTTTCCTTCAACGTATAAAAATATATATTTTTTAAACGGATATATTTTTTTCTGAATAAATATTTTCCTAAAGCGGGGCAAAAACATTCTTCTCGCGTAATTTCTTCCCAAGAAAGGAAAATTCTGCGTCGTTCGGGTATAGGTTGCGAAGTATAAGAAATAATATGAAGTAGGTCAATCGTATTTTAAGTCGACGAAGTCTATACACTTCGATGAGCGGGGCCAGCTGCAACCCGAGATAAGAGGCGTCGCCCACGTCACATTCCCCATGAAACGGAAAAGCGGAAAATTTACCCCATAATTCCTACGGACTTAAAATCTCTTTCTTTATTCTCTTATTTTTTATTATAAATTTTGCGCGCTCATGTAGCACGATGGCGATATTAATTAATCGGTTCCCTTCTTTATAAACTCTCTCTCTCTCTCTCTCTCTCTCTCTCTTTCTCTCTCTCTCTCTCTCTCTCTCTCTCTCTCTCTTTCTCTCTCTCTTTTTCCTTTCGATTACAATTTAAATTATTGTATCTTTAAACTGTTGTTATTAATCGTCTTTCTATCTTCTCCTAAACTAAATTTTTATTTTTTTTTTGTTTCGTTATGCAGATGAAACTAAATAAGAGTGACAAATTTTTTTTAACATTGAGAGATCACGTCTAAGAATCTCCAATGAAAATTCCGGGAATTTCCATGGAAAGGAAATCGAATGAAAGAGGGTGATAGAGATAAAGAAAGAAGTGGGTTAAACATTCGGGAAATAATCCACTTTCTATTGCGTCAAACCGATTCGATCGAAACCAATCGGCAACCCGCATCGGTGAGCACTGATTTTCGTTTCACATCCCCGTGAACCCGTTGCCATTCCACCCCCATACGAGGCGAATGCGAGAGGGGAGCTTGGCTCGCTGGAGCAGCAGGTAAGGACCGCGTCCCAGTTTTACGCTGGCCATCAGGGACTACTAGTGCCATCGGAATACACAATAATAGTAATAGCTGCGATTGCGTTATTTAAAAAAAAAGAGAGATTTAATTTGCAACAAATTCAACGTGATACCATTTAACATTCATATCGATTTCAACCTATTTCTGAAACAACAAAAAAGGCAAACTATAATTTAATTTAAAAATTAACAAATTAATTGGGTCATTATACTGCAAATAATTAATTACAAATTAGACAGATTTTATATTACAGAATTAATATTAATTAAGATATATATCAATTCGTTTAGCCAATAAGAATTAAGGAATTATTAATTTTGGAATCTACGAAGAAAGAAAAAAACAGATCGTTATATTCTTTCGAAATATTCACGAAGTCATTGAGTTTTCGTTATGACGAATACGAGTGACAACGCGATCGCCGCGGATTCTTCGAAAAAATCCGTGGACCTCGCGCGGAAGGAGCTAAACGCGATATTGAACAAAATAGAAGACTTGAGACTTCCGATTAAAGCCTGGCGGATGCTTCGTGCCCGTTCGCGACTGCGACCAACGAAACTGATAAAAGTCCGCACAAGGCACCTGTGGCTCTTGTTGCTGATCGCCACGTGGATTGTGGTGCAAGTCGCGTGGACGTACGTGCTGGCGTATCGATATAGTAAGGTGAGATGCAAATTTCACGTTGTCTAATAATTCATCTATTTCTATTTCAATGCGATACATACAGCCCCGGCCATAAGTATAAAGCATCTTCAATTTATGCCCTCGAAAAAGTACTGGCCGTAATAAAAGCCAAATCAGAATTAAAAATATTATATAATGTGGTAAAAACAAATATTATTTTTCAATAAAATTATTTTTTAATATTTTATATTAAATATACTTTTATATTAAATATACTATATTTTAATATACTTATTTTCCATTAGATATAAAACGTCTACGTCAGTTTTTCGAAGTGATTTATACTTATGGCCAAGGCTGTATCTCCTTCGACGTGACTCTATATTAATCCCTCGATTAGACGTCATATGATACAACAGATCGCATATCACAAATTATTTTTACTTATCCAGGTAAATAAATAATCATATTTAAAACGATAAAAAGACGAAAGAATTTGAATCGAACAAAATCGCAACTAAGAATAAAAAGCTCCAATTTTTAAGGAGAATTAATGTTTGCTAGAAATATTAATAGCATTCTGTTACGAGTCATATTTTCGAGTGGATCGAGTAACTGTGAAACATTGTTCCAGTGTTGGATAACGACGCCCTCGTTTGTGCAAAAACTTTTCCGACCTCCGCAAGACTGCTCGATCTGCCAGGATGTTCAACAGGTTGACAAACTCTCCGCCGTCGATCCAACGATCTTTGAACAACGGTACTAAAACGCGACCTGCGTATTGTTAACTCAGTAATTCATGCGCGGCATTCTTCCATTTTGAAACATCGCTCAGTAACAACATACGAAAAATCCGTTTATTCCCAATTAATTTATTTACAATATGAAAATTATCATTATTTTTCAAAAAAGATTAAAGTTATGTCTCAACTATTATTCGTAAAAATCTAATATAATTATTAATCTTGTTATTCATTGTATACAATACCGAAATATAATTAAATCAATTCTTATCTTAAACATCATTTATAAAAAATATTTGCCTATGTATTATTAATTAATTTTTTCACTTAACGCTGTTAATAATAAAATGTCTAAAGAATTAATCTATTCCTCTCGCCATTATTTAAAAGAAAAGAACTTAATCTTTATACGCAGAAAGAACAATTTTGGTCAAGTATAATCTAAAAATTCAGTTACAATAGAAAAAACTTTTATTCAATAAATCAAAATTTTACTGTAACAAAAATTTGGTTAAAATATATCAAACAAAACTGTAATTTTATACAAATTAAATTGTTTAAATAATATAAACAAATATTTTTGTTTTTTATATATATATAAACCAGAAAATGTATTTTTCGAAAACAACTAAGTTCCTTGTTATATAACAATAAAATATTTGGTTATTATCAAAAAATATAATTGAACTGAACAGTTCGGAAGGAACTAATTTTTTTTTCTATATAGTATGTACCTAAAAATAATTTTGTTTTGAGCGATTAAAATAATTATATAGGAAACTAAGTATAATATAAGCAATATTACTTTTAACATTCCAACAATCAGCTTGAGTCAAAATAAACATAATTATTTTGGGTTTAACAAAATTATTTTCAGATTTGTGCCTAACTAAATTTTTAAATACTGCGATAAAACTGGTTTTTCCGTGTAAAAATTAATTCATCACAGTCATTATTTATTAAACGACTTCCGTTTGTAATTGAATTATTTACTCACTCGCGGCGCATTTAGCAATAATATATCCACACGAGCTTAATAATTCAATATCTTTCTACGATTGATCTCTAATTTATACTTGTAATCAGCTACGCGTATTCAGGGAAGCCAGTGGTGATAAGCGATGCAATGACGAATTGGACAGCACCTACGGTGTTCTCCTTCTCATTTTTCAAAACGCTATATCACGGAGAGGAAGCGAATTGCCAGTTTTTCCCGTACAAAACGGAATTTCGGAGTCTGCAAGATGTTTTCGACATGAGCGTCGATCGAGCCATGATGGAAAAGGGCACGACGCCTTGGTATGTCGGATGGTACGTAAGTAGGAATCGTACTTGACTTTTGGATACATAAACGGGGGCAAAGGACGTTGTTGAGATTCTGCAGTCTCTTTTTCCCGATATTTTCAATCACACACACATCCAATTTTTTCCTTTCTAAGTTTTACTTCTCAATTACTAAGCAGAGTTTAATATAACTGTTCAGTAATTGCTAAAAAAGTGTATAAATTTTTACCAAGGATTCTAGTAACTAGTTTGAGTCTTACATAATTATTTTGATAGTTCAAACAAAAATTATTTTCAAATCTGTGTCTATAAAAAAATGATGTTGTATCAACAGCATTATTTTAATTAAAAATGATCTTGTTAATATATATACACACATAATGTATAAAACAAATAAAATTTTATTAAAACACAAAGACATGACATATTTATTTTCATTAAATGTTATTGAATGAATAAAAAATTTATTAAAACAAGAGTATAACATATTTATCTCATTAATAGTGTTATTAAATTAACAAAATTATTTACAAATTAAAATAATATTGTCGATATAATATAATTGTTATAAATTTTTTAGATACTTCATCAATCCCATTCTTTCCGTGTAGATAATCTTTAGACTGATCTCGATAATTTGTCTTTCATTCTCAATTCAAAATTATCGAAATCATTTATATAAGACTTCGGAAAATATGAATTCGATAAACGCATTCATTTAATTTTCATTTGCATTCCACACGAAGATAAAGTTTAATAGAATAAATGTGACGATGATTTTCCGATGTAAAATCAGTATGTTAATAAAATTTTCTTGAAAGATATTTCTTGAAGAACAAAGAATAATAAAAGTAGGAACTATTACGAAATTTAAGTAACATTTTTTTCAAATTGGTAGTGAATTAATAATGAATTTTTTGAGCATGTTACGATCGATATAAACGAACGCTTGTCATTTTTAAGCAATTTCATAACAATTATTAATTTCATTATCGGAAAACCGTTGGCAACAACATTAAAATAATCGCGAACGAAATAAATCAGTCGCGCAAATGTAAAATATGGATACGCACACCGATCGACGCACTGCCGCCGTTGCCGCATTCCTCCGCAGAGCGCGTTCTGCAAGCATAATTATCGAAAATATAGAATATCAATTAAAAATTGTCGTGCGGACGACGAATAAATAACATTTTACTCGGGCAATTCGTAATTGTCATTTTTCCGTTGTTCAGTTCACCGAGAGGCGAATGCGAGACGAATGCCAAAGCGAGTCGCCAATTATTATCGTGCGACGGCGCATCGAATCATCACGGGCAAATTAAACAAACAACTCATGTACGAGCCGGTAATAAATGAATCTGCTCGCCGATCGCGATTGCTATTTTTTTCGGACCAGCACGTACTTAATTAACGTGACGACACTAGCGCTCGTCGCTTTTCGCAACAATCTCTAAACAATCGCTCGACACTCGTGGTAGTTCGACGAATTTAATTAACAAGTAAGGTCTAATAAAAAATTATGGCTAATTAACGCGACATGATAACGCCAATTTTTTCTTTACGTTCCCGTAACGGTGAATTTTTAATTAGGTGTAGGACCTCAATATTGCCGAAATCCGCCAACTGTATTGCATACAATGTGATGATCGCCCGATACTTTTCTCGGTATTGCCGATACTACTCGTTTTATGCGATATTTAACATCGCGAAAGCCCAGTTTAGATAATCCATAATTCGCATCAAGGCAAAATTCTATTTATGACTTTATCTCGATTATTTTGAAATTTATATTTAATACATATTTTAATAGTAATAATAATAGCTTTTTGAGGTACAATGCTAACAGGGTTTATAGGAACATATAATACAGACGTAATAAATTAAACCTCAAAAGATGCGGCAATAATTGCTGCTCTTTGGTTTAATCTTAACATAACGCATATATAATAAAAACGAGAATAGACATGTATAAATATGTTTACATCAAGAATGCAAAAGCAGAACAAAGAGGGACAGAGCTAGTACTTATAATAGACACGCACGGTACAAATTACATTTAGAGTACAAAATAGTGCAACAAGAAGCGGAATTAGTAGACGTAAAGTACACATGTTAGGTAATTCAGAAACTTAAAAATGTGACGCGATATAGACAGAAGCAGCAGTTCGGAAAGAGGAGAGGAAAAGGAACGAATATCTCTCACTAGACAAAAGATTGAAGTATTTCACACCTACGCATTTAGATGGTTAGATGGAGGGGAGAAGATGAGAGTAAGGAATGAAAACGTGATAGAAGCTATATCGGAATGAAATTCTTGGTTTAGATGCAGATTTGTTTCGAAGATATATGATGGAAAACATTGAACATTGACGAAGAACATTAAACATCAAACAATACGAGTGCAGAATGAAATGCTGATAAATGTTAAGCCATCCAGAGACTTGAAACAATGGTGTCAGATGATCCTGGCGCCGTACGCGAAACGAAGACATGAATTTATATGTATTTTAAATATTTTATATAAAAATAATTTAATTTATATATAAAACATATTTAACAAATATTTTATAAAAGATGTATTTTCTCATTTTTGAAATATTTGTTTCATTACAGAGCACGTAAAATTATAAATAAATAAATATAAATTTTAGGGTAAATAAAATTTTATCCCGAAATTTGAAACACAAATTATGTTATAGATCGTCTAAAGTGGATTTAATTTCGTAACTTAAATATAAGAGACGAGACGAAGATTTTTAATATACACATCATAACATTAATTACAACATTAATTTCGCAGTTTTAATCAAGAGATCAACTACGATCAATAATCGTGGCAAATGTAGAAAATGCGATTGCAATCACTGTCGATTATTATCGAGGTTAACCTCGCCCGAAGATGATCGATCGTGGAAATTCCATTGTATGAGTGATGCTATAGTCGCACGGAGTTCACTTGACGGAATTGTCGAGATGTACTGCGATGATTGTTTAATAATTCCCGAATAAATCACGTGAGATATCGACGATCGAAATAATTCTTCATGACGACACTAAGCCCACTTTACGGTTTGCAATTCAGATTTCTGGCTACAGTTCTAATTACGATCTTATACATCACGTATTTTGATGTTTATATTTTAATATAATATTTTACATGTGTAACATATACATATATCAAAATATACAACTCTGACCAAAAATAACAGGCATTATATTTTTTCAGTCATCTAGAATTCTTTTATCTGTATTATTATTTATTAATTACCGACGTTATACATAAATTTAAAAAATTCTTGAAACAATCCAGTAAACACAATGTTACATGTAACGTATATGTAACATGCAACTTATGTTATATTACAGTTATCTTGTTGAGCAATTACATGTTACATGTACGTTACATGTAACATTGTGTTTATTGGGAAGGATAATTTACAGCAATTGCCATAAATTAATTTTTGAGCTAAAACTTAAAATAATGAGATGTCTAATATTTGTTTACTCCAAGAGTTTTCTAATTATTGCAATCCTATGACAACTTCAGGCCGATGCTACCACGGGAAGAGACCTCTCTTCGCGACCGTCACGAGGTCACCAGAAAATTCTCACTGGGCACTATGCGATCGCTCAACAATCAAACATTGTTTCGATCGACCGGAAGATCAGCCGAGAAATTTGCGCTTTAGTAAATGGATCAATCGGTCGGGAGGCCGGAATCCGGACGATTCCGAAATGGGCGGCGAGCTTCGAGGCTAAACGGTCATAAACACGTCGTTCATGGATATATACGTACATATCTATTGACAGAACTATCGATCGCGACAATATATGGTAATTGACGCGCATACGCAATTAACTGGCCGGTTGCTAAATTCCCGATTCGTGTCCAACGCGACTTCGACGCAAGAAAGAGAGAGAAAGACGCGCGCACACCGCAATCGCGCCAAACGCTCCGACTACTCTGAAGTTAGGCGCGGAGAGGGGCACAAGCGTGACGAGGGCGAGCGAATCAAAACAAAATACGGGCGCGCGCCTACATTCAGGCAATCGGAATTCGCGTAAACTTGCAAAATATGCAGTAGCGCGCGGGACAATATTTTCGAGGGAAAACAGTGTTTATCCAAGCAATATATATATTTTCCTCTGCGCTATTAATATTTAAATTTTGCTACGCTAAATAAACCGTCAATCTTTTGTTCTCCCTGGATGTTATAATTGAAAAAAGTGGAAAGCGGATTATTTCACTAATGGCGACTCTACCGATATTATTAACTTCTCTCTGTTTCGCTCTATATCGATTTGATATGTTATTAAATTTATTCGCTTCTTTCTTCTTCCTCCTTAATTGTAATAAATAGATAAAGCGAAAAGCATTTTATTAATGATAATTTTCGCAATACTTCTTTATGTCTAATATGCTGTTCGATTAATGGAATATTAGATGAAGGAGAAATTATAAAAAAATAATTAGAAGTATATTTCGATTTTTACCGATATTATTCCTTCTCTCGGTTATTATAAATGACAAAAGTGGGAACTGTTTTATCAATGACAATTTCCCCAGTATCATTATCTTATGTCCAGAGTCTACCACATCGATTAATATAATATTAGATTGAGAAGAAATAATTAGAAAATAAATAGCATTTAAAAACATGCACTCAACTGACGACGTTGCAATTAATAAAGAGTATTTTATTCTTATTTTTCATTTAGAGAGCTTCTGAGGATTTCCATACGAAATAAAACTAATTCCCTTTTTTATCTGAGATATATAAAAATGAAGACTAAAAGAATCATTGTATTAAAATTAGTTCGAATTATGTATATATTTGTCTGCAAACGCGAGAAAAAGGACAAAACTGAAGAATTAGGTTTACAGACTTACGTATCTTGTGAGTTTACGTGTATTAGCCTGCGAGAATTTTCACGGCTTCCGAGATTTCCTCGAATCATTAACATTGGTGTACGATTTCACTAACAGGGTTACGAAGAAAATTACATTTCCAATGTCATGCCGATGTCGAGAAACTATCGATAGAGGATCTCGATGAATTTCGTATTTTCGAAAAAATCGATAAATCGTTAAAGAAGAAAAAATAATATCTTAATTTTTCCTCTTATTACTTTTTCTTCTTATAATGCTTTCTCATTGTTTTTTTCCTCTTAGGAGCAATTGTGACGAGAAAATAGGCGTAATATTGAGGGAGCATTATCAGAGACCGTATTTTCTTCCCGCCACTGCCGAAAGCAAGAAAACGGATTGGATTTTTATGGGAAGCAATGGCTATGGCGCACCGATGCACGTAGGTTTTATTCAAAATTATATGAGTTTTATACGAAATAACAATTGTATGACAAATATAACAACATTCTTTAAAAAACGAAAAACGATGATTCAAAATTATTTATCGATATTAAATATACAATACATTTCAGTAAAGATTTATTAATAATCTTAAAATATATTTTTTTTTTCCTAACCATATTTGTATTTGTATATAAATATATTATTTATATGCAAATATATTCAACGTTGAAGTATGCGCTTGTGTTTAAGTATACGGACGACTATCATTAATCGTATATTTTGAAAATATGAAATTTTTCCAAGGTGGACGATGTGGATTATCCTTCCTGGCAGGCGCAGATAAAGGGTGAAAAATTGTGGATTTTAGATCCGCCGAGAGAATGTCACTATACATGCAAGAGGCTGGAAGTGATTGTGCATACCGGAGAGATAAGTGAGAGCCACACGATATATGCCAATAAACAATGATCGAATTAATTAGAAAATTAATTATTTTCCTCGTTTAGCGCTAAATGTGGCGTTGTGATCGATAGCTGCATTCAATGTTATTCCGAATCGGGTATTGCTCGGTCACGTGTAACGCTAAAATGCAGGGCATGTGAATATCGTTTATACCCTTGAATTGGAGCAAAAGAATTATTTCATTTAACAGTGTTTAAAATAAAATTATTGATTCATTATTTCTCGAAAATGTATAAAGAATTTTCAGAAGAAATATTTCAGAAATAATTGCGATAACTAATAAAATTTACTTTTCATATTACTTTTCTTATACATTGTATTGCGTTATCAATATTTTTTTGTATTGTTCTGAAACATTGTAATTTTCAATTGCAGTCGTCTTGGATACGAATCGATGGTATCACCAAACGAAAATCATTTCCGACGACATGAGCATTACCATCGGAGCTGAATACGATTGAAGCGAGCAAAGTTCGAAAGCTGATTTAATTATATAACAGATTCGTTATGTACGAGAATAATCGACAAAAAATTTGCTATAAAAAAAGTCTCTGTGTGCAAATATACAGAATAATAAAATGTGATAAGAATAAAACACATTGTACATTTAATCATCATTCATAGAATATTTCGCAATTGAACGGAAGCGCAATAATTTTTCAACATTATATGGTTAATTATTTATTCTCGATTATATGTCATTCAATCTGTTGAATATTTGAAAAATAAAATTAATCCTCGTATGAATGTACAGATAAAAATATAAACTAATAAAATAAAATATGAAAGACATAGAAACAATTATGTTCAATATTTTATAATTATTAATATATAATAATTACTTTTATTAAAACATTTTATAGCTAAAAATGAACTCGAAAATTTTACTTACATTCTGTGATTAATTGTATTATTTCAATTCATTTTCTTTTCTTTAGATAAAAATCATTAAATTTTTTAGAACAAATCGAAAATTATTTAATAAACCGTTTCTCTATTTTAAATTACATAACTATACGAGTATTTTGAGATGCTACTTGTTGATAGAAAAAAACCAATCTATTTCTAAAATTATGCTCTTAAAACTAAATGACTCATTTTAATCTTATTGCTTTTTAATTAAATGTTATTTATACATTGAAAGAACGATTTTACCAAAGTAGAAAAATTTAGCCACATCTGAAAGTAATTTAGACCCACGTACTAAAATAATTATGTAGATCAATTTAGTTGCTAAAATATCCAAACTTTTTGCAGCATTGCTCATTATGCTTGAAAGTCCTACATCATTTTGACAATTTAGTATACATTTTATTTATTAAAAAAATTATGTAACATAAAATTATTAATAAATCTTTATTAAAATGTGTGTATTGTGTATTAAATATCAATAAATAATTTTGACAGTCATCATTTTTTATGATATTTTCAGACCTGTGTCGAGCTAAATTTTTAGATACTTCATGAAATCGTTCTTACCATTGTACTTCCAACTCGAGCGAAAGGCTTCCAACAGGCTTGACCAAAGTAACCCCATACTCGGTTAACCCCCGATACGCTCGTCCCTCGTGACGTATGTCCACGAACGTGGTCGCGTGCTAAGTTTTACGGTTACCCGTGTATAATAAGTGTGTGCGTGTGTTAATCACGCTCTCGCACGAGGTAAGTAAAGAGGAAACGGCCCCCGCGCACGGCACGGGCCCCTCATGCAGATGGCGAGCAAGACGGGAGTCGCACCTGGCGGCAGGTGAGCTCCTACCGTGGGGGTTACCTCCATTACGGGAAGGAAGGGGGGTGAGGATTCGAAGGGGATTCCCCGTTTGACTACCTTGTCAGTGCGCTAAACGTAACTCGGTCTCTATCGTCTTATATATAGGATCATATGTTAGCCACTGGCATTATTAAAAAAGAAAGAGAGAGAGAGAGATAGAGAGAAGAGAAAGAGACATCAATATTTTTTTGTCAGACCGAGAACGAACGATTGCGCAAAAGTCCTACTTGAAACTTTTACATATACAAAGTTTTGTAATTTTTCTTTGATCTAAAAGTCAAAATACTTTGAAGCAGTATATTGATTAAGAATGCAACACGGAAAAAAAATGTTTCTGATTTACAGCTAATTCTGCTTAGCTGAAATTGCATTAGCTACTATAGCTATGAATTTGCTAATACATACAAAGGATTTGCTGCTGTAGCTAATATAAGGACGTGATAGCAAAATATGCATGTCTGTTTAAGATCGATTTATTTAGCAATATGAAGTTAGTTGTCACAGTTATCGGATATGTCAGTGTAAAAGAAAATTGTCTTTACCACAGTTAAATATGGTTTGCTGAAACTGTACTTGCTACTAAAATGTCTGCTATACAGAAAATGTTTGTTGCAATGATCAATACATCGACATAATAGCAAAATGTTTATCTGTTACAATGATAATATTTAAGCCTCACAGCTAATGGAAATTAGACCTCGCAGATATGACATTAGGTGTCCATATAATGCTACTGAATTTAGTTGCCATACCTAATTTTTAGCTGTGGCAGCTAATCTTTTTTTTCCGTGAAGTATTTGATTTTACTAATGATATTGATTTAAATGCTGACTTAAAAATTTAAATAAATATATATTAAGTTTATTATATAATAAATATTTTTTTATTATAACTTTTCTATTATAATATAACTTATTAAGTTGTGTAAAAATAAAAATGATGCATACTGCACTTAATTTTGATGAATTAGAATTAATTCATATTAATTAAAAAACGTTATCTTTATTAATTTGCACTAATGTAAAAATAATATTAGTATATTTAATCGTTATACATTAGTTAAGGAAATGCTATTTGCACTTTCAAAAATAAATGTTATTAAAGATAGTACAAGACGATTAAATAAAATTTAAAAAAATTAGGACATTTAGACGGACATCAAATATTAATGTGAATTTAGCTAGACGAATGTACTAATAATAATGATCGACTATTATATTATTAATTACATCACATAAATTCTATCAAATTACGAGGAAACTTCTTCTTAGATCGTAAATTATGTTCGTATAAAAAAGATTTATTACATTGAGTTACGTGACTTAGATTATGCTTGATGACCAGCAGGAAGTAAAAATATATTATATGAATGAAGAAGTCCTCCTTAACCAAAAACTCACCTGAAATGTACAATTTTTCTATTCTTTTTGTTTTTCTCATGTTTCCTCGTTTGGATTTACTTAAACGAATTCTTACATTTATATGACTATTGTTATTTACCGAAAGATAAAGACAAATTTACAGAATTATTTATAAGATACACAATTTTTATTTAGGTTATTTTATAAAATATTACATAAAACTTCCAATTAAATAAATCACAAGATAACAAGTCAAATAAAATTTTCTTTAATCACTCAAAACGTGTAATCCTTGTCAGTGACGATGTCATTCCTTTTTTCTTTCATTCTGATGGAACTGTTTATACTTACGCATCTCCAAAGTGATTATTAAGGACTTTGAAAATTACAGAGAGAGAAAAAGAGAGAAAGAGAGAGAGAGAGAGAGAGAGAGAGAGAGAGAGAGAGAGAGAGAGATGAAGGAGATGAAGAGAAGAGGAAGACTTTGACATCTCTCTGATGTATCGACGCCCATGTAATACATGTATACACGCTGCTCCAGTTACGCCAATGAGTACGCCTGTATATCGTTTGTGTTAATTACACGGAACAGCATATCTCCACTTTCATGTCCGATCTGACGTCTATGATCTATAAATGTTTGTAGCAATCACTAATAAGTAATATCAACCAGAGAGGAGATCCGCGAAACGCGTCTCAAATACACTCGAGAATTATTTGATTACAGAAGATATATGTAAGTCTTAGATCTTGAATAGTTCTACAATTTATTCAGCATTTTATATTGTATTCATTCTTATAATTTCAATGAAATTATTACAATTAAATTACCAAATTACTAAAAGTAATAGCTTTTCCTTAAACGTAGCACGAAAAATAGAGTACATACAGAAGCAACATTCCAATGTGTCCATAATCGAACACATATACAGTAAAAAAAACTTTCTGAATTTGTGTTAGAAATTCGATCCTTGTGAAAATTTTTGTATTGAACATATTCAAGTATTAATTTAATATAATATGATAGCACTATTGGAACGTTTTGCGTTAAATTAATACTCAACATTTCTAAGTTTTAAAATAATACAATTTATGAATAAGTAAACAATTAATGTAAAAATAATACATTTTAAAACGTAAATTCTGAGATAAATGAATAAAATGTGTTAATTTAACATATCATAAATATTCATTTTACTGTAACGTTTTAATATTGTAAATGTTAAATTTTCTGAAGAAATATGCTTTCACAATTTGCTTAAAAATTGTCAGTGTTATATTCTCGGTATTCTTTTTTTTAATATAATATTTGTGTTACTTCCTAACATATTTATCTTATAATAATACTAGAAGAACTAAGCGGTAATTATTGGCCGTTTCAATTTTTTAATATTATATTTTTCTTCTAAAAGACAGGATTAACATTTCTCGTGTCAAAGATAATTTTAAAATCCTTTGACTTTTCAATAATTATGTTTTTACATTATATAATGAAATTTGATTTTTCGATATTTTCTTTATTTCTTTATTCACGCAGCAATTTATCCGCTTACTGCTTTTAGTGAAACGTTGATATCTAGTGTTGAATTAACGCAAAAATTTGAGTGGACCGTTTGGGACACGTGAAACATGTTAAAAACACAAACTTCCCAACTATGTACCGTAGAATTTTTGTAACTATTTGAAACAATTGAAACTGTAGAGACGTATCTTTTTATTTAGTTATCCTTTTTCTAGTTTATCTTTTTAGTTTATCTTTTTATTTAGTTAGACAGCTTCGCGTAAAAAATACGCCGAGCTTTTTATTTTAAATAAAATGATAGGATATTTAATTATACGACACGACCACTTTGATGCACTACTTTTGTTGTTAACAATCATCGTCCAACCGAGTCTGTAGAGTCCCATAATGCGAGCGTAATACTATGCACAGAGCGAGTGATGAAATAATTATAGATATCGATTTCCATAAAGAAAGTGTACGGCGACGACGAGGGAAACGCGAGGACGTGCATCATCTGCGTTCCGCGCGTTCGGCGAGTTAACATTGGTGTGGAAAAAAAGAGGAAAGAAGAAAAAACGCGTTACACGTCGTCACAAGCCGGGACCGTTTACTCGTTTTATTGCAGTGAAATTCGCGTTAAAATCGCGGCGGGAGGAGGAACGGAGTCGCGGGCACGAATATCGTCGCGTATTATCGCGATATCGCGGGAAAGGCCGCGGGCTCTCTTTCGATTTAATTGCATTCCGTGGGAACGACGAGCGAAAAGCCGATACATCGGGACCTCGTTAATTCGCAAAAATCATCCCGGCCTTGTGAAGATCTTTTT